TTCTGCGCGAAAATAAGAACTGCCACCAGTTGCATTCCATATTGACTAAAACCATCAATAAATGCACTTTTTAAGTGCTATCTAACAGGTGAAACTCTACCTTTGTTTTAAAAGATAGAATATGAGATATAAGGCGTGGCAAAATTGTAATCAATTTCTATGATTTTAAACCAATATGCCTTTTCTGCCACATCTATATATGATATCTCAAAGAAAATTTCGAAAAAATTAACAATTTGATCACTCATGGATTCAATGATTTGTGTCAAAATAATGTATAAAATATTTTAAAATTTAAAGAGTAAGTCAACTTCTCAGCAACAATGAAATTAATTTGATAATGCGAGAGACATTGGAGTCTCTCCAACAGTATAGGGCCAGGGGTCACATTAACAGACCTGGGAAGGATCCAACTTGCTCTAACACCCATGTTGTCTATATTCTCCCAGGAAGCGGGCTTGTTATCCGATCTCTCCCAATAGTGTCTGAATAGAGCACACATAACATCTACCGTCTATTAATACAAAGAGGACAAAAGCATACAACTGGATATTTACAAATGAAATGTCCAAAGGGTTTCCATTATCTGAGCCCTAAGTAGATCAATAACAGTAGAGTTGACCATAGCAACTGTCCAAGCCACTAAACATCCATTTCAACCGCACCAAAAATAAATTCATAAAATCTTATGCAAACTGAAAAGGTTGAAGAGTGCTATATGATAAATCTGGGAGTTTCAAGAACCTCAAAGTCAACAGCGGTAAATACTCTATGAAAATAGAAGATTGGCCGTCTAAATCTTCCATGATGTTGTGGCATTCTTCATCGCAACTGAGTGGCAGAAATGAATGGCTAAAAGGAGTTAAGCCGCTGACAGGTCTGGTGTATGTAAACCTGTTTAGTATTGTATAAATACATCCAACTAAAATGTTCAGATAATACAATGATAACAAAGCCCTTCCAATGAAACCAGTTATGTAAGTTTAGTTGGAACATTTCACTTTCATTATTAGGAATATTATGACAATCTGCTATATTCAAAATATTGCCCCACCTATTTGTATTTAACAATGTCTATGCCAAACATCCTACTACTGTATATAACAACTACATGTCCAAAGATGACTAATTTATTAAAGATGCTCAATGAATCTCTTTAGTTTGCAAATATGGTTTCTCACGAAATACATAAGTCAATTGATTTAACTTTCATCAAACTTTTTAATCTGGATTTTGAAAAAATATTATATCGAAATCAATAAATTATATTTAGCAGTGTCTATGGTGTGATTGTCTTATCTTTTGCCACCTGTCACCTTCCCAGAGCTTTTTGGCAAATTCACCCACCTAAACTCATGTTCCATATGATCATATCTTTGGCGACATGCTATACATGTATTTTACTTGGTCCTTATCATTGATGAGAAAACAGCATATTCACTTGGCATTTTATATGATCATTTGTATATCTTACTGATAACTTATATTCCCATTTTGTCGCACCTAATAATAATGATAATTAATTGAATATTGGCAGGTATTCTCAGGTAGATCTGAGTATAGCGAAAAGTATTGAATTTGAAAGTATTGACACCCCCCCTCCCTCTTGGTGACTCCATCGAGAAAACACTTTATACTCTATTGTCTTTGATCAATCAATAGAGTAATTGAAAGTAGTCCCGTGTAATAAGAGTGTCAATTAGTTCCTGTATTGGTTTTTATATTTAAATAGCTATGATAATAGTGAATATGATATTTCCAATTGGAAAATTAAGTTCTGAGCTAAAAAGTTCTTTAATTAAACGGGAGAATTTCAAGGGAGATGTCAGTTTTTACGATGATGATGTCAGGAAACAAAGGTAATGATTGATCAATGATGAAAGGTAACTTTGAAATGACTCATGATGATTTTTAACATGTAATTAAATTTAAGAGAACCATATTTAAATTTGAATTTATATATTTTTATACAATCTGCAAGTACCAACACATAATTTGATATTAAAAATTTAATTTATATTTAAAATTATATTAACATTTTATTTATATTAATCAAGAGTGACATTGAAACAATTATTGTTTTATATGAACATAATTTTTGATTATAGCAAAGATATTTAGAGAATATTTACAATTACAATTATATATATGACCAAAATATAGATAATTAATACAGAAATGGTGATCTAATGAAAATCAAACATTGGCAAATCAATATACATATATTCATGAATTGACACAACATTGACTCAATTCATATCTAAGTAAAGATGAATTGAGATATGAAATGATTGATTGATAATAATGATGCTAGGATTCCAATATATGTCTCTCTTGAGGTAGATTGAAGAGTCGTTTCTGGAGAAATTCTCTCTAAAAGACAGCTGGTCCAATACTTTAAGTAAACACTCTCCTTTGTCAGAGATGAGGGCCAGTAAACATTTTCTCTGAGCACGTTATATTGTGTAACATGCCAACCAAGTTAAATGCTTAGAAAACCACAATTAGAAGACAAGAATAGCGGATTATGTAATGTTCACTTTAGTCAGAGTTTGATTTCCATCTCAAGCAGGTGGCTACATCTAGTGGCTGAAATACATACTATTAGCTTATTGTCTACTAGTAAATATTCCTGCGTTATTTTGGTACCTAATCTTTTTATAGAAATTGTATGTTGCATATTAAAAATAAAACATCTAATAAATACTTCCAAGGAGCTTAATCAATATTGATTGATCACTTTAAACTCCATGTATTTTGATTTAACAGCATCTGAATTTAGATTGTTAAGTTTATCTTTTGGTATTAGATCTGTAGTCTGATCTTCCATAATTGTTGCCAGAAAGTGTTTTAGTAGATTAAAAGATCTTGGTTATAGTTAGGCTCTTGACTTGCTCTTAAGGTGGAGACATTCGTGTTCTGCTTTATCTAGAGATACATTCTCAGCTACTTTGCCCACTCTTCTTAACTTTGAAGCAACCTAACGCTCTTTGGTGTGAAACATTTTATGTTACCCAGATTCGTTAGTTCACAATTTGCGGTTTAGGAATTTAATAAATGTTATACAGGCCTGTGAGTTTTATAGTTGCAGCAACGTTGCTTTGTTATTGAGTAAAACTATTTTTTATTTACATGTGTGAAAATCTTGTCACTATTCTCAGTCGCATACTATATAATCTTTTCTTTTTGTGTCGATGTGGCAGGTACTAATAGTAAAATATGTCAATTGAGAGTTTAATTGAAATGATTTTCATTATGATGTAGGTATTTCAAAAGTGACTGAACTAAAACTAAATAGAGGAATTATGAAAAGGGCTGAGACGATTAAAATGTATTTTGTTTTGATGATTATTATTAATTTGTCAAGGAAGCTTTTTATTGCTAGCTAAACATTTATGGTCTCCTCTCAGTTGTACTTTGCTCAATGCACTTGTATGTGATATAGCATTTCCCAAGACAGGTAAGACAGGTGTGTAGATCTGTAAAAGACCCCCTAGAAAAATAATGAATTTAAAAGGATGTGAAAAAGCGAGACAATAGGAATAACAATGAAATAGTATGAATATATAAGATGGGATGTAATTATAAAAACATATTGTATGATTTTAAAGATAGATGGATGAACCACATAGCATTTATTTTCATGTCATGCAAAATATAATTTTTCAGACTGAGTCAATTGATAGGGAAAATGAGGGGAGTATTTAACTCTAAAAGTACTAATTCTTTCATTTTCTCAATGGATATCTGCACTATATGACTGAAGATCACCATGCGCACTATTGATTTTAATTCATTTTAGTTTTATTGAAATAAACAATTTCTTTAAAGCCAGTCTATTGTGTAGAATATCTTTTTCTCGTTGACATAGAATGAATCTAGTTAGTAAAACATTTGATTCACATTTCAAGTGAATAGAAAAGTTTGTCGACAATTTAGTCTATTATCTACTGATTGAAACACCATGGTTCTATTTATTGAGTTAGGTGTCACTCCACATACAAATATATCAGCATTTAATTCCTATCACCAAAATGTCAATAAAACATTTAAAAGAGTAGTATGTCATACAATAATCATAATTCTTAATCAATGACCTTGCACCTTTACAAACTCCTTATATATGATTGACTTGTCACATTACAAAACGTTTCCCGGGTGTGTTTCATTTTCACATTTATAAAGATTCTGCATTTTTAGAATTACTTATATTCGATTGAGGCACCATAATTTATAAATATACAGTTGAGTATTTTTTATGTTGCATGAATAGTGAAACTATCTTTTTGTCATCAAAGAATTGTTGTGTCCCCATCGCAGAGAAATTTGACACTTGAAGAAATATGCTAACAAAATATGATCTGCTATCATAGATTGATCAACTGACACTTGACTACTGTCAATGCTTTCTAGCAAATACGACGCTTCATTTTGCCTTTCAAAAATTATAATAAATGCTTTTTCAAAAGCATTTGTATAGATTCACAAAGAAGCTATATTCAAATCTAATAATTCCCATATTTTAGGATTTCTCCGCATTCTTATATCTATATTTGATTTGATTTATATATCTTCAACTGAAGATTTTTTGTTTTCTCACCATCATCCTTTCCAAATAACAGTTTTTATCATTTAAAAGGCGTAAACTAATCAAAATAGATAGTTTTTATTCATCAAATTAAGAAAACATCACTGTATATATAGGTTCAGTATGATCTCTCAGTCCAATTGATAAATAAACAATCAAATCTAGAAATTCCATTGCCGCTACTATTAATCATAATAACTTCATATTTGATGTGCATTTGGATTCAAAATTCAAAGAAATGCAATAATTTTATAATGAATGTTAAGGTAAATAGATAAATAAATTGATGAATGGCATTTTGAAAACTAATAATTTTACATCCATCTTAATATGCGAATGATAAATTGAATTGCTGTTTTGATAAAAGTATGTGATAGATATGAAATAATGAAGTTGCATCTTGTGTTTACAGATGAAGCTGTTGATGAGCATAGTTTTGGACAAGCTCCAAGTATTGCTGCCCCTATAGATGATGTCATGGATGATCACCATGGCAGCGATGACAGCATAGATACTCACCATGACAACACTAACAATACTGCTGAAAATAACAATGATGCAACCAAGACAATCACAACTGAACATCCACCAGTATACATTCCAGAAGACATTCCAATCCCAGATCAATTTGAACTCAGGGAATCAACTGTGATATTTTCATTAGGTGTTTGGACCAAATTCCCCATTTCTGCTGGTCAGAAATTCGGTCCGTTCCAAGGCCAATTCAAGGCGAAGGTGGACGACCCTTCAGCTGCCTGGGAGGTAAGTTTCTGATTCTGAATCTTCACCTTTAATCAGGAGGCATTCTATTAGATCCCCTACCCCAGCTGTAAGATGTCTCAGATGCCTCATAACATCACTATATTGCCTTGTGTTAATTGCCTTGAAAAAAGATTCCCCTGGAAAGATAGCAAGAGGCCATTAAAGTTCACTTAATTAACACTTAATTGTCTTTTCCGAGAAACATGGGTTAGGGGATAATTGTTTGTTAAGAGAAAATGTATCAGATTCCTATTACAGTGTGTTTCATGTAGATAATTTCGGAATCTCCAGGACTCATCTTACACAGTTGCATTGTTAAGTTGTTTTAATTAAGCAGTTTATGTAGAAGGTTATCTCCGCTCTTCTTATATGTCAGAGTTGATGGAACAGTCATCTGTATATTTCATGAGGAGCAAATTCAGTATGTGCATTCTCAAGAACTTTTTTAATTACATGTACATGTATGTGTCAAAGTGGAGATTTGTATTTTTTATATTATTTGATTTTGTATATATTAATTACCTTCCATTTCAAGTAGCAATTCCAGTATATATAGTGTTTATTTTATCTTTTAGGTTAAACTGACAAACTTCTTTATCTGGCACTTCTCATGGATTCTTTAACAATTTTTAGGTAAACATAATCAGTTGTTTTCAGGTTTATCTCACTGTGAGGTTTCAGGTAGCAATATTTGCAAGATATCTTACCTGTAATTCACCTGGCTTGATAACATTAGTAGTAATTGGTTTAGTTTGTTTACAAGTGATAAGATGAGATGTAAGTACAAGTTGATTGTTTACAAACATGTAATGTTACACCTGGAAATGATAAGTGAAATGAACATAAGCTTAGTCAAATAGTTGGATAGATCACAGGTGAGTTATCTAGGTGTATCCTGGGCTCTATTTAGGCTTTATATCAACCTTCTTGGACAGTTGGACGGGCATCTATAGAGTTTCATATACAGTAGACTATATTGAAATATTTAACACAAGGAGCTTTGAAATTAGCCAATGATGATTTTGGATTTTGCTTGGTGGTCCGTGGCTCAGTTGCCATATTCAGGGTGTATTTTGTCTTTTTTATATTTTGTTTTCACCTGTTCTAAAGTCTTTGGATTTAAATTTTCTGTCTCGTATTATACCAATTGATAGTCTATTATGTTCCTCCATGGCTTTGTTATTTTGAAAACCACAATTCCTTGGGCCTTTGTGCTTAGTAGTAAGCGAATCAATATCAAGTTGCAGTGTGGATGGTGGGATGGCCAACTAGATTGTTTACATGTTCATGCATATGCTCATTACTCTAATTACCGTTAAATGTAGGGCGGGAGAAAAGTCTATCTCATCTGGTAATTATATTTTTTCATCATTTGTTCTTGTGTATATGAACTTTGAAAATCTGTCTGCAGACACGTTTGAGACAGAACTTCACGCTTGTGATTTTGGATCTTCTACTTTATAATTTCTAGATGTCTTGAATGCATTATCCTGTTGGTTTTAGGCAATTTGCTTGATTGTCTCTAGCAATAAGTATATTGAAATTGCAACAGATATCGGCAGATTATCTGTTTGCTTGACAGTGATGAATTTAATCTCATTCCATAAAATTGAATTTTGACATTTTTGAGTTGTGGCAACTAAGTGAATCTTTAGGTCATCATCTACTGAGTGGTTTTTATCCGGTGACTCACAAATACAAGATTAGATATCTTTTAAAGTACAAATATATGAAAATTCCATCTGGCTCAATATAATTAAAAGTTCTCAAAGATGTTAATATAACTATATTCAAACGTAGAACAGATAGACACCTTTAGCACTAAAATAAATGTATCATATATTGTACTTTTATATATTAATCCTTTTAGAATAAATTAATTATATTGTACCTTTATATTAATCCTTTTAAAATAAACGTAGTATATAAATAGTATCTACATGTATATGTAAAATATTGATATTTTTATGGATATTTCGGAAAATTAATTTCAGTTTGATTTTAATAATGAAGTATAGTTAGACGACATTCACAATAATACTTTTGACAAATTTAACTTAAACGAGAACACCATCATTATGAGTAATAATGATGTATTTCCTTATTGAGAAGCAAACACTACCAGCAATGGAATAATCAGTGAAAATAGCAATCCAAAAAAGAGACAAACGATCTCGTGAATTACTTGGATGATTTGTTAATAAGTTGAGAAGAGTTTTCTTCCCCTTCATTGGAGGATGTGGCCATAAAATGAGATGCCATCAGGCTCCGTATCACATCCCTTGCCCGTATTAATCATCACTTCCAAATTGTTTCAACTCGATGTGGAGTCATTTGGAAAACTTACAAATGAAGTCAAATGATCTGGAAGGTTGTGAAATTAAATATCAGTGATTGGGATGTTTTCGTTGAAAGATGATATATATGCTGACACCATGTGTCTATGTTAGAGGCCCTTTAGACTGATGTAACTCATTGTTTTAGTTACATTGCAGTTACGTGGAGAGACCTAATGCCTCCCAGTAGTGGAATGTATTGAAAATGCCACCAATGTGCATGTCATCATACCTTTTAGATTCACAATATAGCATCATATTAAAATTTAGAGATCAGATTTCTATTACATGCATTCTCCCAATTAAAATCTTAAACAATAGACCCATTGCATACCTTCTTGAAATACTTTCACTTGGATGCCAGTGACATTGGCGTATTTGACTAATATACTGGTAGAATTATTATTAATTAAAACATTCCTATGCAGCTGGTGAGGACCTATTATATAGAAAACAGCAGTGACAAATTAAAAATTGAAAATATATGTTAAAGAATTTATGATATAGTCACTTTTAACAACCCCTCTCTAACCCCTCTTCAGTGACATTTCAATGCACGCGTGAATCTTAAATCGTGAAAAAACATTGTATCCTTTTAATTGAATGACTTGATGAAAGAACGAATTGAATTGATATAAATACACCACATGTAGAAAAACTTGTATAGGTTATTAAAGTGTTGCTGCATTGAGGCCATTGATGAGTCTAACTACTTGAAATTATTGTCAAATCGTATACTGGGCGGAGAAGCTCACATGTCACTGTGGATGTGTATATAACACTCAATGGCTATATGAACGCCCGTGAACTCAAAAAATATTTTAATTATTGTCTCTGTTCAATGATCCAGTTTTGCGGTGGAATCTGACAAGTATTGCCCAAGTTGATCGCAAAGTATGTGATTCCCACACTTTTTTGTACCTAATCTTAACATAAAAGATGTTTGAAGTATTTCAGCTAGCTCCCTACTGGGGAAGGTGACAGTGTTTACTAATTGATGGAACCAACTTTCTAACATTCCTTAATAAGAACCCAAATAAACATCTTCACTTTTTTAACTCTAAATTTGGGAACTTTATTGTTCTAAACCAAAACAAGCATTCTACCACACCCAGTAGACTCAAGAAAAATCGCAAGCACAGGTGGTATTCTTATCCCATAAAATATGTGCAAGAACAGAATTATGAAGCGAAAACTTCATAATTCTTTTTAGGGCAATATAACTGACAAATTGATTGGACAGGAAGCGATGAGGATCACATACTCTTGGTCGAAGTGCCATCTATATGAGACCTTATTCGCATTAATATATCTCGGTTCAAATCAACTTGCAAATATAGAGGGGTGAATAATGACAGAAATTTTTTTGAATATCATTTTTAAGCATATTCTGACAGAGAAAAATCACTTGTGTATCCTAAAGTATAAATAATGAGTTATTCTGACATATGTTTGCACTATTTCCTCTGGTTACATAAATCGTGATATTTAAATCTTAACATTTTACACCAAGTTGTAAAGAAATATATGTTTGTGGGACACAACAGTGGGAGGATTAAAACCAACAAATGTAACAGGAGGGATAGCTTTCAATCTTAATTCTGAGATGTATCTTCTCAATTTATCTCCACCCTGTGGTGACGCAGAATTATTTTAAGCTTGATTCTTTAGCCTGCTCAGGACACGCCAATTAAAACACAATAATTTACATGTCTTGACTCCTTTGATCTTATCACATGGGTTTAATCACTTATAGCTATGGTTAAAGTGTTCCTTTTGGGAGTCCTAAAACAGGATACCTCATAAATGATGGGATCCTAGGATGGTGCCAGATAAGTGAGATTCATGAAATGATACTTTAGCCAAGAGAGTTATATTTCACAATCTATCCAATTTACCCATCTTGGTTTTCCAAGACTAAAAAGTTTTCATAAAATAAAACTGGTAACTGGTATGAATTTGCAATCATTTTTTCAATTATGATACCTTTTCGATCTCTGCCCAGAGACATTAGACCGACCCTTATGTCATTGGTTATTATACTACTCTCTGGATAGAACTGATCATTTTATAGTCGACCAATCAGAGAGCACCTCAATTCCATGTTAATCTTTGAGTCTCTGATTGGGTTAACAGGTTCAAAGGCTCATTACTCATATAAAAAGTAATGCAAAATTGATCAGTCTTGGAATGGGTATCTTAGGACCTGTGTATCAAGGGATTGTAATGGTATGTCTAGGCATCCAGTTGAACTGTGAATATGAGAGGCTGTGTCTATGTAGATGTGTTGATAGGCTTCTCCTCCATCATTTTTCATTAGGCTCACCATACATCATACCTCACTATAGCGCTCCCTAAATCTGTTTTCCTCATCACAATGAGTATGAACCTGCGTTCCCAGACTAAAGTTTTTATAAACTGTCACTGTGTAAAATCAAAAAAGTCATTCTAGGTAATCTAATTTAATCCTTTAAAAAACAACTGGAAATAGTTGTAAATCTGTGCATTGTCCATGCAATGTGAGTGTGTTTTGATGGAAGAAATAGTTTGTTGTGATTGTGCAACGAGGGCTTGTTTGGTGGGGTGAAGAGGGCTCAAGTGGGTCGCCTCTCTAGGCCCAATAGGGGGCATCACGACATAGGGTGACTCACGCTACAGATACATGACGTGATGTAACAACAAACAAGTAGTTCCAGCAGGAAAATTCAAAATAAAATCTTACACCAGATAAAAAATTCTGTGTAGAAATTTGTTCCAGGATTTTGAAAGTTGTTCTAGGATTTAAGATTCGTGCAACTGAAGATAAACAAACATAACTGCATTCATTGCAGTTGAGTTGTTTGACTGTATCACTGTTCCATTAATGAATGAAAAAAGTTCAAATACAATCTCTCTTAACTCTCTGAGGGTGAAGGGGTCATATGGTAAAAACCACATTAACAAAAACAAATCCACTAATTAGTTTATGTATACATTTGTATATTTCTTTAAGTGTGGTTACCAGTGGCATCTTGTATCTGTCTTGGTGTCTAAAGACAATGATGCCCTAGGCTAGAGCATCAATAGCCTTCATATACCTTCAAAGTATACCTGAAGGACAAAAATACCTATTTCATTTCATATCTTATCTCTTGGAATTGCAACTTCTTATCCTCAATTGTCTAATTCATATATAGCTCATTCTATGGGACCATAGACAATAAACTGGTTTTATTTTGAAGGTCTGATGAAGAAATATTTTTGTGTATTTGTAGAGTTTTCACAGGATGAAAAGATATTCTGTATATTTTGAAACATCTAATCAATGAAAACATTCTTTTACCACAATTTGTTCAGCCTCTGACCACCCTGTCTTCAGTTCTCTCTTCCCTAGTGTGAACGTTGAATTTTGTTGCCTTACTAATTGGCACTTTTGGGCTATTTAGGAATATAAACACAGAGGTTGAAAGAAGATACAAGATTATCTTAAGAATTTCTACAAGCTTTTCCTGGAATGGAAGTTGAAATTAAAAAAGGATTGGTCTGGAGATAAGATAAGATACAATTTCATCATAAGGTTTTTGGCTTATCATTTCATATGACAAATCTTCATTTTAATTCATTGGCTTTTACAATCAGTTATTAGACATTAAATAAAAAGATATTGTAGAAACATTTCATAATTGTAGAAAAATCCTTGGATAGGTAAAAAACATTTGATAACAGATTAAAATTGTGAAACAAGAGTTCATGTGTTTTTGATCAGTCTCTGACAAGGATACGGTGGAACTAATTTGAAACTTGGTAGTCCCAGGGCACTCTTCTTTCTTGATGTGTTTTCTATATCTGATCACCTAATACCCCATCAATCTTTGAGATCAGGATCTTGGTTCACAATTAAGCATGTACCAAAAAATGTTTTTGTTTATGAGGTGTTGATGCCTTTGAGCATTGCCTTTTAGGAATTGAGGAAAATGATTCCAAGAATGTTCTTGAAATTTGAAAGAATGAGACTGATAACAGTGTCACCTATTATCATTCGATATTGAACTTTTTTAAGTTGTCAATCATTTTATGGAGTATTTTATTCAAATGTTTCTTTTAATTACTTGAGTTATTTTTTCTGTTGTGTAAGCTTGTGTTTGACAAGATGGTCTATAATTACAAATATAACAGGAACAGGATATGTTCCTCTGTAGATACTTTCAAAGTGTTTATATGCAAACTTCAGTGAGCAAGTGCAGTGGCAGGCTAAACAATACAGGTCTACCCTCTTGATGCAACAAGTGGCGAACACTCGTAACCTACTGGGACCATCAAAATCCTCCAAATTTTATCTTATCAGATTATTAGGAGTCACTTGTTTATGGCTTATTGACAGAAAATAAAGCAAATGGTAGAATAAAATAAACAGACAGCTGAATTAAAAGACATTAGTTGCGATTGGCAGACGGAAAAAGAAAGTGCCAGAAAATCTTGGCTACGTGGGATGATAAGAAGACTTTGAAGTACAGGTAAAGTATTTTAGCGTTCATAAACATCTATTTAATGAAAAACAAAATAAAGCTTGATAAATGCATAATCACTGTAGAAAGGTGTCATATATTAAATAAAAATTCAAGATCAATTTTGTTGCTGAAAATATGCCAAAACATACTAAATCTGACATTTAATAGAGGTTGAATATTCTATTCTTATTCAAATTATATAATTAATTTATTCCAAATAAATAAAATCTATGTAAACGCCTCTGGTTTTACAGTACTTGATGTTCAGCGAGCAGCTTCTTTTTCTCATCAAAGTTGAAGTTGTAGTTGTCATCAGTCTGTCTTATATCTCTCTTTTTATAAGTGAATTCCTTAGTCACTAATATCTCTAATATAGACAAAGTCCCATAGTGATGATAGCTAGGAACATTAGCACAAGGAGGATGATACCAGATTTACCATTCTCACTGTAACATTGTTTATAACAGGAGATAAATCCAGGATTTTTGTAAACGTACACAAGTTAGAATTCAGTTGAAGAGGGATTATATTTTTATTAAAGCCTGAGCTCTAAACCCACCTATTTAAAGGGTAATCTCTAAAAACTGTTTGGTTGAGGGGTTAATGATAATTTTGAATTGATTGTTGTCACTATCAGAAGTGGTGACCTATTGTTATAGTCTCCAACTTTTTTTCTGGATAGAGTTTGGCAGTTGGAGTTCGGCATTTGGTGGCCAATGTTTGATGCCCATAACAAATGGCAGGTGGTGACATTTTGCATGTTAATATTATGTTTTAGCATTCATAGCTACAGGATCAGCCGATACCTGGCCAGGTAAAATAGTTTAAATATTTAGTAGAAGAAAAGCAAAATGAACAACCCATTAATCGTTAGCTAATAATGTGGCTTTTAGCCTTTAATAAAAGGATGGGCCAGTTGGTATATTTTATTTATTTTTGTTGTGGGAGGTGAGAACTGCTCAGTGCAAACAGAAAAACAGTTGCTATGGAGACCAGATCAACTGATGTCCAAATCATAAACAGATCCAAAAGATGGGTGGAAATACCAGAAACCATGACATCAGATTTACCAAACAGGCTAAATCATATCTCAAAACCTAGAACCAAAAAACTTATCAATTCAAAAAGTCATTCATCAACCCCCATTCTTTAAATGCTGTAAGCTATCTCGGCAAATGGATACTAAGGGTGGGGGGGGGGGGCAGAAACTTGGTACAAGACTACTCAAGGAATGATTAATGATAATAAACTATTGATGTATTTCCAGTATCATTTCAAGGAAAATTCCATTTCTAAGAGATAAGTTATATATTTGTTATCAGAGGGACAGATGGGAGACTGTCAGAGAAAGCAAGAATAAGTATGATGAACACTTAACTGGTTTAATTAAACTGATTTGTGAGACTCACTATTCTGATCCTTTGTCTTTAGAAATGATTTAATTAAATGTGGTATGAGATAAGACCATGTTGCTTAGATAAGATACTTGTAGGTACATCACGCCTTGGTAACACAAAACTTTGCTAATCATGCCTCATTATTTAATTATTCCCAGTTAAGCTATTGGACAATTAACAGAGGTATTGCATAACTGATAAAAAATTGATGTGATTCAAATATAGAAAACTAACTCATAATATTTTCCCCTAGGATTGTGCAGTAGACTAATATGTTTTATGAGAAATATTCTATGCCAGAGCCAAATTGATATGATATCACTACTGATTGCTTGTAATTCAAAGAAATGATGAATGCCTAGATTTACATTCTGATTTATCAGAGTCCCTCTTTACCTAACGTTTTTGAGAGACTCTGATATATCATGAGGCAGAACCTGTTCCTAGCCAGTGCATTCTCCAAGTAAATCAGTGTATATGGAGGAATAAATTAGTACCTAAGAATGCACTGTCCTGTTTTCCCCTTTGTAAACTTTAATTCAATGAATTCATTATGTGGAAAACTTTTATTTATCTTGATGGTTCTTGTTTTTATATTGAAAATTAATAACTATGATAATGTTGACATACTTCTTTTTTCTTATTGTTTTCCAATTTAGAATTTTAAACAATAATTATCATGCAAATGTCGACACTTAGATTATTTGGGAGGGCATTGTGTTTGGTCACACTCATTAGGCTTTGTCTGCTTATGTAATCATGCAACTGCAGGTAATGCCTTCCCATGATACTCATGGTCAATAGAACTCTGTAAATAATTTGATTGGTCCGTACATTTTAGGGTTAAAGGAAACATTTATTACAGTCAGTAACCCACAGTCTGAACTATTCCAAAAGGATAGTAAAGGCTGTGGATCCCACAATGCTAGATTTAGTAATTAAGAGATATTCTGCTAAATTGATCTGCAGGCAAAGAGCATTCTGCAGCACTTGACTCTAGATTAGATAGTTGCTAGTCTCATCTATAAATCAACCTCTTCATTCTAAGCCTTATTGGGTAGCATTAATAGAATCTAATAGCCCATGTTTATATAGCGTCTTTAATATTGTTCCATTTATCATTGCCATTGAATGCAATTTTACGCAGGTCATCATTTTCTTTAATGAAAAAAGAGTCGAAATAAATAGAATTAGCAATGAAGAGAATTGAAAAAATCAATTATCATGTTAGAAATAATGTAGATATTCAATAAAATTAAACCTTGTCATCACATTTTTGCGGAAAAGCTGCGAAATAAGCATGACACAAATAAAATCATTTGATGGATGGTAGCATGTTATGGAGAAATCGGCAGCTGTCTCCGAGATTACGTTAGCATATCTGTATTTGTATCCTAGTAACCACTGATACCTACTACGCATCCAATCTCGCACCATCCAGCACAACCATTGCACATGCTATCACCTCTCATCTCCCCTTTGCTCCAACATAAAACATTTCTAGAGCACCTCTCTTCAGACTACTCTTCAAATATTACACAAGACAAAGGCAAAGAGAAAAGAATATTGCTAAGATTAGGAATGGATTCAAAATAGATAAATCTGATAATTCTGAATATCAAAGATATTTCAACCGAGCATAAAAATTAAGAAACCAGTTATGTTTGATTTTTTGCAGTAATCTCGACTCTCATTTCTGTAATTTTAAGAATACAATAATTTTAAGAATACAATAAATAAAAGATAAAGTTAGCATATAGATATTAGAATTAGAAGACAATAAATAAAGTTAGAATACAATAGTTAAGAGTACAATAACAGAGTAAGAATACAATGAATTTTTATACAATCTGAAGCAATCGAGATCGAGCTAAAAAACCATCAACAATTTGGACCATATCTGAATATGTAGAACTCTTGAGGAAATCTCAGTATTGTTGGTTAATTAAGAGAGACAATGACAGTTAGCGGATGCACCATGATCAATTATCTATTATAGTAGCTCTGCTCTGGAAATAAGCATCCTGACAGATAAAGAAGACACTTCCTTGCAAATATTTACAATCATTTCAGCTCTAATTAGACTACAAAGCCTTAAAGGACCACTCACTAGAATATTAAGTCGATACATTAAGAGTCTATAGTTAAGTTAAATGAATATTATTTTTATT